GATTGCGACGTGGCCCCCCCCCTGGGGGGGGGGGGTGATTTCTCGCTTTCTGTCTCTCTCTGTCTTTCTGGCAAACACACGCGCCCTATAGCGAAAAACCTCTCCAAAAAAAAAAAGAAAAAAGAAAAAAACAAGCTCACTGGCAAACTATCCACCCTCCTTAAAGTCAGAAATTATTCCTTGGTCACATTCCTATAGGTAAATGGACTGGACATTCCAGAACATTAAGGCTTGAATGTAAACCATCACAAGCTATAAATGCAGAAAACACCACCAATTCCTTGAACACACCCCTGCAGAAATATTACTATGAAAAGTATACTCAGAACTGGGCCAATAAAGACCATCCATGAAGAGAAGGTAACTAACCGCCCTTTCCCAAGAGGATAAGATGTTGCTTTAAGTGAGGCACCAGATAAAACCAGTGCCCAAATTCACGAACCCAACTGTTCCCCACCCCGCATGTAAATTCCTCTATTTCAAAAGAAAACGTTGGATTAACTGCTAGGTCCAACAGGAGCACTCTGTTGGTGCTGGCATATTTTTAAGATCTAGGTGTCTTAGAAAGTTAATTTATGAGACTTGTCTCAACATCTGAGCATACTTCCAATGAGCACACTTCCAATGAAATGCCAGATTTCTAACACCCAACCAGCTGTCCTGTATATAAATGCTCATTAAACCTCTGAGTGAATAGTTTGACATACACTAGCTAAGGACACCTAAGAGGTGCTCTGTATCACTTCAACTTTTGACATCATTCACAGATGTAGCCTAAATGTCGGTGAAGCAATTCAAACTGTGAAACTACAGTTCTACTATCCTGAGAGACTCCTAATTGCTCCAGTGTATGTGTTTGGTGGCAAGGGGCAGAGGGCAGGTTCACAGCTGTCCTGTCTACCACAACCTCCCCAGCAACCAGCAGATAAATAATAGGGACTCAGTGAAACACTGATTGGTAAAATAAACTCAACATAACAACTCGGTAACAGACCAAGGGACATACCATCCTCTGGTCTGGTCAATGCCTTCAGCAATGAACGCTGCAGGAAACGCATCCTCAAACTCCCTCTTGTTTTCGAATGGATAATGCACCTGTGCATAGGGCATGCTGCCACTCTCGAACCAGCAGTCAAACACTTCAGAGACACGGCGTAGTGACCCCTTCCCACAGCGAGAAGGAATAGTCAGGTGATCAATGCTAAAAAATAGAAAAGTAGCATTTCCATTATTTTAAGCATAACCAAACTTGCTTCTTAGGGGACCAGCAGTTGGCGTAATGGCTATGTCACTGGACTCCCATGCAGTTGAACGCAGTTCGAGTCCTGGGCCCAGTGGCTTAAACTCACGCCAGGCACGTTCGCATGTGTGCCCAAGATCCCAAGAGGCAAACGGAGAAGGGATTACGGCGTGGTCATCCCCCCGGGGAGTGATTTCTCGCTTTCTGTCTCTGTCTCTCTCTGTCTTTCTGGTGAGTGCACACGCCCTACAGCAAAACCCTCTCAAAGGACCCCGGCGAGAAAGAGTATTTAAAAAAAAAAAAAAAAAAAAAAAAAATTGCTACTTGGCATGGAAGTTAAGGCACTGAATCCCATATTGCTGACTCCACTGTTCAAGTCCCAGACCCTTCAGGTTGAAAACACGTTGGGTGTGTGTGTGCATGCATGCCCCAAATCCTAAGAATAAAGGAGAAGGGACTGTGGTGTGGCCATCCCCTTGGAAGGTGATTTCTCATTTTCCCTTTCTCTGACTCTCTTCCATTGAGTGCCTATGTCCTATGGCAAAAATCTTAAAAAAAAAAAAAAAGTCCATCAGCAATACACTGACCTGATAAAATTACTGTGTATCCAAAGCCTTTCAGAGGGCACCACGAGTCCTCAATCTGAAGTGTTACACAGAAATCACCTATATTTTGTTCCTGGCTATCTCTCATAGCAATGGAGCCAAGTGTGATTTCCATATGTAGCTATGTGTCATACAGACACAAGGACTTAGCAGCGCTGAAGGGAGCCACACCTTCAGAACTCACCTCTCTCTGTGGAGATCTGTGACCTTTGCTCCTGATAGTTCTTCAAGTTCTGCCACTGACCCAATGCACACTACCTGTCAAAAACAAAGGTAAAAAGTAGGTGCTCCTTGAGACCAAGGGACCACACTGAGGTCATTTATGTTGTTTCTGTTTGGTTTCATACTCACACACACACAAAGTTATCACCAGTACAGCTCACCTCTCAGTCTCTGAAGAGCTGTCTGCAGATTTCACTGCTCATTACCCATCTCTTTCCTGAAGGTTCACTATGTGCAAATGTCTCCCAAAATATCCAGCCTAAGTGACACATCTCAGACTACTGCTCTAAGGTATCTTTTATTATAGGCAGATCAAAATAATTGGACTAAAGAGAAGGGACTGCGGTGTGGCCATCCCCTTGGAAGGTGATTTCTCATTTTCCCTTTCTCTGTCTCTCTTCCATAGTTAGGCTTGTGTTCAGGTAAGGAGCTGGGATGGGCTGTCAGGGTGTTGAGTATGGGGACACCCGCCAAGTGCTGCACTAGCAGAAGCTGCCTGGGTTCTCTGGGGTTTCTGCAGGCCTCTGGCCTCTTTCTGTCCCTCTTGCTCAGTTCTGAAAAGTCTGGGCAGAAAAGATTCAGCTACTTCACAGCTGACTTTCAGGCCCTTGCAGATGAGTTCCCAATCCCCAGGGTGCTGCTGCAGCACTGAAGAGAAAGAAAGCCCCAGCATGGGAATGTATTTTATACACACAAATGAGGGAGCCTCAAAAAGCTCAGAGAAAGATGGAATTACAATCAAAGTACAAGTTTGGCTCAGACAGGTAGCCCAGGTGGTAGGGAACTGGAGTGCGGGTAGTCTCAGGGAAATATCCCTAAGTTGCCCTGAACACACATGGGAAAGGTGTGCATGTGCTCCAAGTCCTGGGGTGCTGGAGGACTGGGGAAAGAGGAGCACGGTGACAGCACTCGGCTGGAAGAGCCCCCACTACCTCCAGGGCATGTGTACATGTTACAAGTTTATTGTGACTAAAAAAAATTGAAATCCGGGACAAGCAGAAGGTATAATGGTAGCTGAACTCCCACATGGCTGACTGCAGTTCAAGTCCCAGAACCAATAGCTTGAAAGTCAAGCAGTGCATGTGTGCATGCATGCCCTGAATCCCGAGAGGAGAATGGAGGAAAGGGGATTATGGTGTGGCTATCCCACTTGTGGGTGGATGGTAATTTCTCGCTTTCTGTCTGATAAGCACAGGCGGCCTATAGCAAAAATCTCTCTTAAAAAAAAAAAAAAAAAGAAAGAAATTCATGCATAGTTTTTCCATAATCTGCCCTTTCCATGAACTTTTGGAAGGGCCCATTGTACAGATATGTACATACAAACTTATATACACTCACTTGATTATAGAAGTTAAATATCTGCAAAGCTTTGGTAAAAATTTTGACCTCAAGTTTTCGTTTTTCATTACTTTGATGGTTAGTTAAATTTTTTTTAAAAATTTTTATGCATTAAATCACACTATTTAGCTTACAAAGTGAACATTTCAATATGTGAACATTTCTCCCCAGTCCAGATGATCAAAATATCTTCAACAGATAACACCACACCTCCCTGTCCCATCAATTCTTGGTCTGCATATCCCTCCTCCAAATGTCCTTCCCCAGGCCCCACTCCTCCACACACACATCTCTTGTGTTTGTACATCCTTTAGTCAATCTTTTTCATTCATAGAGTGCAAACAATGTCTCTCCTTCATAGCCTGGCTTGCTTCACTCAGCATTAAATCTTCCAAATTTTTCCACTTTCTTTCAAAAGCCAGGGACGTGTTTTTTATGGCCGAATAGTATTCCATAGAGTATATGTGCCACAGTTTTTCAATTCGTTCATCTGTACGGGGGCATTTGTGTTGGTTCCATGTCTTAGCAGTCATGAACAGTGCCACAATAAACATCGATGTGCAAGCACTTTTTCGATGAAAAATTCTTCTGTCCTTTGGGTAGATACCAAGGAGCAGGATTGCTGGATCATATGGCAGGTCTATCTGTAGATTTTTGAGGAATCTCTAAATTGTTCTCCACAGTGGCTGGACCAATTTACATACCCACCAGCAGTGTAAGAGATCCCCTTTCACCACACGACCACCAGAACTTATCATTTTTTTTTTTTTAATCTTAGACATTCTGACTGGGGTTAGGTGGTATCTCATTGTTGTTTTGATCTGCATTTCCCTTATGATGATGTTGAGCATTTTTTCATATGCTTTTTGGCTATTTATTTGTATGTCATCTTTAGAGAGTGTTTTTTTCAACTCCTTCTCCCATCTTTTAATAGGGTTGATCATCTTTTTTCCAAACACTGTCTTGAGTTCCTTGTGTATTGGGTTATCGGTCCCTTATCTGATGCATAATTTACAAAAATATTTTCCCATTCTGAGGGCGTCGATTCACACTAATTACTGTGTTTTTGTCATGCAGAAACTACTTAGTCTGATGTAATCCCACTTGTCTAGTTTGGGGATTATTAGACTGTGCTTTGAGCATCTTATTTTTTTTTCTCTCTCTCCTATCTCTTTCTCTCTCCTCTTCCCAGAGAGTGCTCACACCCTATAGCGAATTAAAAAAAAAAAAAAAGATTTTTTTAAAAATGCTTATTCTAAGCAGATAGTCATTCTCATTTTCTCCAGAAAACTCTCATTTTTCCTTCTACAAGCCTGAATTTCCAGTTTAATGTCTTGTGTCAACTGCTTATAAAATGCAGATCCAGTCATTCTCTCTTTTATTATTAATAGTAGAAACTCAGCTGACTGCAAGTTTGGGAATTCATATTTGGGAATTCATATGTTTGGGAATTCAGAATTGAGTCCCCCTATTTCTGGGGACTCAATTCTGTTCCATTGGTCCACATGAATGTTTCTGTGGCAGTATCATGCTGTTTTGATTACCACAGCTTTGCAGTATATTCTTGGGTCACTCCACTCTTCTTGTATAGAACTGCTTTGGCAATATGGGGTCTTTTATGATTCCAGACGAATTTTATGATTGTCTTTTCTAGATCTATGAAGAATGTTTCTGGTACTTTGATTAGCATTGCATTAAATATGTAGATTAATTTGGGTAGAATTGCCATTTTGATCATATTAATTCTTCCAATCCAGGAACATGGGATGTCCTTCCACTTTTTTGTGTTATTTTGAATTTCTTTTTTTAGCTTGTCATAGTTTTCCTTGTTGAGGTCTTTAACTTCTTTGGTTATATTTATTCCTAAGTATCTTATACTTTTTGTGACTATGGTAAATGAAGTAACTTTTTTCAGTTCTATTTCAGTCTGCCTGTTGTTTGTATACAGAAATGCTATAGATTTCTGTATATGGATTTTGTATCCTGCAACTTTACTGTATTCATGCATTACTTCCAGAAATTTTTTCATGGAAACCATTGGGTCTTCTATGTATACAATCATGTCATCTGATTGTCACCTCTTCTTTTCCTAATTAAAGGCCTTTTATTTTTTCCTCTTTTCTGACTGCGTTGGCAAGGATTTCCAGTACTGTATTGAAAAGGAGTGGAGAAAGTGGGCATCCTTGTC